TTTTAAGCTTATTTATGAACAAGTCAACTAAATAAAGTAACGCAAGACTTAAGCTTAATTTGCATTCGTAAACAAAAAATTTTTCACCGGTTTTATCGATAAATTCAAGTCAAAAAGACAAAAAGCTTTACCTGTTAAAACTTCCAAACCGAACTTCGTCACCTTCTTCATGTATTTCGGAAATAGCTTGCTTGATTAGTTGTGAAATTTCCTAGTTTGTTACGGCAGCAAACCGGGAAGGCATTTTGCTCTCAACCTACGCGAGTTTGGCGTCGCTGGCTCGGAGGAACTGGAGGTGAATCAGTGAATAGTGCAGCATATTCACTGATTGAGTAGCCAATCAGAGCGCGCGAAAAACACTATCCACTGTTTTAGTATATACTAAACACGAATGTACACTGCGAGATGGCAGATTATTCGTTCCCGCATGAAAAATCACATGAGAGGGCTCAAAATCGGCATAGATGCTATCTATCATACAGTAAACACCCGCATATAAGAACAAATGGATTAAGAACACCAGGCTGAAATTTGGCCAATAAAGCCCCATTTTTATAAGAACAAGTTCAGCCTGAAAATTGTAACATTTTCTTATAACATGGACAAAGTGTCATAATTACAAAACATGTAAGTTTATGTTTGCTGTCAGATAACTTCATTTGTTAATATAATCAAATTACAGAATAATAATTTATTTATTTTCCTAAAATATGCTAAATATACCTTAAGCAACATGGTTTGGATAGTATTACTAAATAAAAATTTAAGAACATTTTAGAAACATTTTGAGGCTGATTTGTCATTAAGCACCCGATAAATATGGACTCAATCAGCCTGACCTCCCAAATCGTGTGTTCTTATATGCCGGTGTTTACTGCACTGCAAATTTGATCGCCAGTCTTACCTGGGAACGAGCGGTTGTAGACCGATTTCTTGGAGAGTTTTTTTGGGTCGATATGTTTAATCATAGATTCTCCAATATACCGGGTTTCGACTTGTCCAAGCTGAGGCCATGTCTTGGCGTTGTTACAGGCTGTTCAAGTGGCTCGTCGACTGTAGTGGTTTGGGAACCGATTATTTCTGACCTTTTGTCTATTCTGTGACCACTTAGAGCGGAGAAGCGATTGTCTGTTGTTGTTGTTGTTTCAAAAGGTGTTGCTCTTGGTCTAATTGTTCGAAAAGTTTGAGTGCTCGGACTTTGCATATCATTAACTGGAGCAGATGATTCAAATTCTTTCATTAACTTTCTCATTTCTTCGTTTTGAGCGCGTAGATCGTCGTTTTCTCTCTCTAGAGCTTCTTCTACTTTGGATTGTAGTCCTTCGTAGGTGCTTGCGTTGATTGCCTCTTTCATTTTGTCTTGCCGTTTCACCAACTCCGTTGAAAAACCATTGATGTCCGCTCACTGGCTTTTAACCGCATTCGTGACATTTTCTAGTTTACAAATGCTCACTAAAGTATGGAATAATAGATCATCTTTGTCTGGTTTGAGATATCGAACCTCCTGGCTAAATTGTCCCTCTGTTTCCTCAGGTTCGACATTAATACATTGCTGTTGTAAGAATTCAATTGCCTCGTTAGACTAAAGAAGATTTTGTATATTTGGTCAGGTTTTCCATTCACAAGTCCTTTCACTTCTTCCAAAGAATGAAGTATCCTGGTTTTAGTTACTTTGGCAAAAGCATAAATATTTTTTTCCTTTTTAGTATCCATTGAAGTGGAAAAAGCCATGATGTCAAGAAGATTATAATTCGCTACCCTTCGAGCCTGCTCCGTTCCTTTATATACGCGCGTGCTACTACACAAAAACGGGCGATTTTGATGAATATGGCGAATATGGCAGAAATGGCCCTAGCTAATTTTCGGATTTTTGGTATTTTTGACAGAATTGCCATTTTCGTCAAAAAGGACCCTTTTAGCAATCTAATTTGAATATTCGCTAAAACCATTGCAATTTTTTCGCCAGATGCGCCATTTTTGTCGCATTGCCAAATTTGCCATTTTTTGTCAAAATCACCACCATTAAAGGGGTCCCTTTGAACATCTCATTACAAGTTCGCCACATCTTTGGCGAATTTTCGCCAAATTCGTCATTTTCACCATATTCGCCATTTTCATCAAAATCGCCACAATTGAAGGGACCCCTTTTAGCATCTCATTAGAAGTTTCGCCGCATATTTGGCTAATTTTCTCCATATTTGACGTTTTCGTCAAAATCGCCAAGGGGCCCTTCCAGTTCAAATTTCAAGTTTATTACAGTAATTTGTAATTTACCATCTTATTTGACATGTAGTTAAAAGGCTTTGACGAATTCTTGTCATATTTGCCACTTTCAAAGGGCTCCTTTGCATGTCATTTGGATTTTTGTTGAGACTTTGGCAGATGTTCGCCATATTTGCTATTGACACCAAATATGCCATTTTCGCCAAAAACCCTCTCACGATTTTTTAGCCAGATTCAACATTTTTGCCATTGCTGGCTGCTTTTCCTATTTTCGTCA